ACTAGAGATTTGTAAGAATGAAACATTGTCTTGTCTCTGTGTCCCACCTTACACTTCGTGCGCACACACGTGGATAAAAACTACTTGTGGAGGTGAATAATAACAGGCAAAGAATGATTGTTCTCCTTGAGTTTTTCAAATTTCATGTTTGCTTGTGTTTCCCTTTGTTAGATTGTTCTATTTTAATCTGAGTATTTTCTTAAAAAAATACATTATTTATTAAACTTGAAAAAATAAGACCTCATGATAACTGTATATTCTAATCTTATCTCACTGTATTATACTTCTTGAATAATATCTTCGAACCTTCTAGTCTTTTTCATTACCATTAATACCTCTACTATCTCTACTATCACTATGGGATTTGATTTGACATTTGTGTCTCTGTGCTAATGTGGTGGTATGGCAACATGAACTTATGTACATACGTACGAAGTTCTACGTTGCAACTGACTGACTGATAGCTGTATATGTCGGATAGATTTTCGACAACTGAGACAGTTTGACGTTATTCCGATTACATCATACTTTATTTGCCTCCTGTTGTTTATTTAGTAATGAAAATAGTAATCGTTCTATGCGGTTGGGAAGATTGTTAAGTTACACATTTGAAATGAGATGAATCAATCGAATTTAGACCACCGTTAGAAACCTGCAAGCACTGGATGGCCGTTTCGTCCTTGTATGGGACTCACCTCCAGCAGTGCGCATCCACGACTCCTGCACCTCATAGGATTCGAACCCAGGACCTTCGATTTTCGGACGGTGGTGTTAATGTCTAACTGATTTTTGCGTGAGCTCACCCATTTGCCTATGGTAGTTACTGCCTACACCCGACAGGGTTGAACTCCACTGGTCAAGTCATCTCACTAGAACTCGGCGAAAATTTCTCACGGAGCCATTCACTAGCGAGGTTGTGAAAATTGTTAAGTTAACCATTTGAAGTCATGAGTAGATCAGAAGAAAACTGGAAGTCCTATACCTAGACGAAATGGCCCTCCAGTGCTTGAAAAATAAGGCCCCATGATAGCTGTACATGTCGGATATATTTTCGACAATTGAGACAGTTTGACGTAATTCCGATTACATCATACTTTACTTGCCTCCTGTTGTTTATTTAGTAATGAAAATAGTAATCGTTCTATGCGGTTGGGAAGATTGTTAAGTTACACATTTGACACCATGATTCAATCAAAGTTAGATCACTATTAGAAACCTAAAAGTACTGGACGGTCATTTCGTTCAGGTATGGGACTTCTAGTTTTCTTCTGATATACTCATGATTTCACATGTGTAACTTAACAATCTTCACAACCTCGCAAGTGACTAGCTCCGTGAGAGATTTCCGCCGAGTTCTAGAGAGATGACTTGACCAGTGGAGTTCAACCTGTTCAGGTGTAGACAGTAACTACCGAAGACAGTGTATGAGGTTGCGCAACTCCGTGAATCGATCGAAGTCAGACATGAACACCGTTAGATGCCGGCCCAGTGGTCTAGAGGTTAGGCGTTTGTGCACAATAGCGAAGGTCGTGGGTTCGAATCCTGCGAGGTGTAGGAGTCGTGGATGCGCACTGCCACTGATGAGTCCCATACCAGGACGAAATGACCGTCCAGTACTTCCAGGTTTCTAATGGTAGTCTAACTTTGATCGATCCATGATTTCAAATAATAATTGTATCGCATGATATTCGGATGATTTTCATTGAAATCCGGGATTGATCAGTGTTTAAAACATCATTAGAAACGTGGAAGTACTGGACGGACACTTATCCTTTGGCGTCCGACGTTGATATGGTATGGCAACATGAACTGTGATATACTTTTACATGCGAAGTTCTACGTTGCCTGTATCTGACTAACTGACTGACTGACTGACTGAGTGATGTGATACTCCTCAATGGTGTCACATTCACATTGTCATTACAGGGGAGTCGTCGAACCAATGGTGTACAGTTTTGATGCATAAACATTATTCATTATTATTTAGAAAGATCATTTTTTTTAGTCAGGATAATAAAAGTCATTGTCAATTTATTCATAGATGTATAGAGTTTCATCTCTTAAAATCAATCAGAGTAAATTTTACGAAATTTTGTTAAAATCAAAATCTATTTCTTATTGATATTTTACGGGCACAGTTTTGGAGGTTTGCGTTTTTACACATTTGAAATCATCAATTAATTATTGTTAGACCACCATTAGAAGAAACCTGGAAGCACTGGACGGCCGTTTCGTCCTGGTATGGGATTACTCATCAGCAGTGCGCATCCACGACTCCTGCTCCTCGCAGGATTCGAACCCGAAACCTTTGGCATTGTAGGCGAACGCCTTGCGATCGGACCACTGGGCCGGTGGCATCCAACGGTGTTAATGTCTAACTCCAATTGATCTAGGGATTTTGCGCGACCTCACCCATTTTTGTTTGGTAGTTACTGCCAACTACACCTGACAGAGTTGAACTCCACTAGTGGTCACGTCTTCTCAACTAGAACTCCGAGAATTTCCTCACGAAGCTACTAGTCACTAATGAGCACTGTTACGATATTTTGGGGCACAGTTTTGGAGGTTTGTGTTTTTACACATTTGACTTACTTACTTTCACAAGCTAACAACTATAGATGGTGATATATGTATGTATATATATCTGATAGGGAAAAATTAAAAAAAATTGTTGTCCCAGTTACTGGGTTAAATAATTCTGTTTATTTTTTTCCAATTAAAACAAAAAACCTAAACCAAAATATAACCAAGAAATTAATTTTCCCTTTTTCCCCTCCTTCAAAATTGTATGGTGTGTGTGTGTGTGTGTGTATATATACAGTGTAATTGGGTACATTTCTCGCTGCCTAGTTTCCCTCATTACTACTACATCTCTCTCATCTCATCACATTACACTTACATGTACAACTGCGTGCGTGCGTGCCTGTGTGTGTATACGTGTGTGTGTGTTGACATGGCTATGCATTCGCCGCCGTTTACTTGTGATATTGTTGTGATGATATTCCATCTCCTCTCTCTTTTTGCATCTCCTTCCACTGTTTACTCATGACTACTACTACTACTACTACTACTAACTACTATTAACAGTAGCAGTAGTATTATTAATGTTGTTTACCATTTTTTTCCCACTTTTTTTTTCGTTCTTAGCTCATTTATTATTATTATTATTATTATTATTATTATTATTATTATTATTATTATTGTTATGAATGTGTCCATCTAAATAAACTGGTCAATTCATTCGTTTACAAATCTCTCTTTCAATGTGTTTTTTTCTTTGGTTTTCTCTCTCTCTCTCTCTCGGTTGAAATTTTTTTTATTTCTATTCAATTTGAAAAAGCGCGGGTTTTGTTTTGTTTTGTTTCGTTGCGTTTGTTTGTTCATTGTTCATTGTTCATTGTTGTTTGTTTATATTTACTCGTTCATTTATTCGTTAGTATTTTCTTCTAACAAAAAGTTTGTTTATAAATGAACAGACAATAAGTGTGTGTTGTATGTGTATGTGTCGGAGAGTGAGAGGGAGGAGTATCAAACCGGGCTGAATTTAATAACGTGACATGAATTCGCTCGCGTGTGCGTATGTATGTGTATCTGATGTTGGGGTATGCTGGGATCACTCAGTCATTCACTCGCTGATACATTCATTCACATAGGGAGGATAACATTTGACCTGCTGTGTGTGTACTTCATCATCATCACATAATCTGATGTTATTCATAGTTGGGAAATGTTTGTATGTGCGTGTGTGTGTGAACATTACACTCTATTATTATGTGTCTTTTCGTTCATTTTTAAGGTTGGTTGAATTGTAAATAAATAGATTGATAAACATTTTGCGGTGATTTGTTAAAAAATAGTCAATTGAACTTGATTATATTTCACATGCAGTAGCTTGAACATGTTTAAAAATCAATCATTCTTTATCTAATTATTGGAATTCTGATTTGATCATTGTTATAAACTATGATTAGAAACTTGGGATTCATCAATGGCAGTGCGCATTCACAACCTCTGCCACTTATGGGAGTCGAAGCCGAGGACCTTTGGTTTCGTGCGCAATTGCTTAATCTTTAGACCATTAAGATAGGCTGACATTCAAAGATGTTTATAGTTGATCGCTGATACTGTACAACCTCAGCCATTCATTGTCTTCCAATAGGTAACTAACTGCCTACAGGGTTGAACTCCACTAGTCACAGATTCTTACTAGAACTCTGACAATTTCTTCATGAAGCTACTAGCTAGTGAGCACTAAGGAGAGTACATTTTTCTGATTTTTCATTATAGAGTTATTGGAGATGAGTGATTTTCATTGAAATAATGTATGTCTATGTAATATGACTTTTCAAGATCTGAAATCAAATGACAATTTGGAAAGAAAGATGTTAGTTGTGTTAGCTCAGTCAGTAGTCGAGAGAAGTTTAGCATGCGAGATTGAAATTCTTGTATTCATTTCTTGCGTGTGAGAGTTATGGATGCACACACTGTTGAATACAACGACCATCCAGTGTTTTCAGGTTTCTCATGATAATCTAACATTGATCGTTTCGTAATTTCCGTGGAATTCTTGTATTCATTTCTCGCATGTGAGAGTTGTGGATGCGGACAGTGTTGAACAGTCCCATGAAAATTACAGAGTTACTCAGTAAAATAGGAATACCATATCGTAAACCGTTGTTCAATTGCAAATCTTCAATCCATTGTCTGACATTTCACTTATTCATGCATTTCATACAAATTCCATTGTGTTCTTCTAACTCTTCCTTTCTTGATCTTCCACTGCCAGACATTACGTTTTCACTCGCGTCATATACTACTTATAAGTAGCGCGCACCATACACTTGAACGAAATGACCATCCAGTGATTCCAGGTTTCTTTCTCATGATAATCTAACATTGATCGTTTCATAATTTCTGTGAAATTGTGATTATTTTTATTAGTTTTCGGTTGACCATATCATAAACAATTCGATATTGTTTTTTTCTTATAATCTCTTAAGGATGTTGTATTATGTGGACCAAACAGTACTGGCCAGATTCCTTCAATGGATCAACAATCTACCACCAATTTGGAAATGATGACTGGTGGTGGTGGTGGTGGTGGTGTACGTCATTCAGGTACACCGAAAAATATCAACGATTCATTTCCTTCATCAATCAGTCCAAATGTATCTTGTGCCAATATGTCAAATCTAAGCAATCGTACAACAATGAATTGTAACACAACAAATTATTATGGTCCAATAATGAATAATTATAACCATAACAATACTACTAATAATACTACTAATAATAAACCAATGAATCCCCATCAACAACATCATCAACATCAGCATCAGCAACATCATCCGTATTTCAATAATACACCACCATCTGAACTAATGATGACATCGAATTCCGATTCGATGACAATGCGAACAATGTCGAATAACAGTAGTAATAATCACAACAACAGTATGAATAGTAATAGTAGTATTCCATGTACACAACATTTAACTTCAGCAAGTTTAGCTAGTCTAGCACGTTTATCTCAAATGTCCGGACCGGAAGGACCACCTATTCCGACATGTTCTGGGTCATTGTATCATTCAACGATTGGTGGTAATAGTAGTAGTAGTAATAATCATAATAATCATCATCATCTTGGATCGATGCCTAATAGTAGCGGTAGTGGTGGTGGTGGTGGTCATGCTCGTGGTGGAACCAATTTGCCTTCATTTCATCTAGATGGAAATCCTATGATACCAACGCCAACGCCAACACCGCAGCAGCAGCCGCAGTCATTACAACAACAAGGACCACCACAGCCACCAGTTCAAGGAGTACATCATAATCATCATAATATCTCCGCCGCCGCCTCCGCAGCAGCCGCAGCACAAGGTGTACGCAATTATAATTCAAGTCCAGGAAATTGTAATTCCAAGTCACATTTATGCAATAACAACACTGTCAACCAATCATTGCCATCAAATATGATTCCTAATAATAATAATTGTAATTTACCTCATTCATTATCATCGCCAACAATTCCATTACATTCAAAATATAATGCACAAAATTATCCTCAACTTCAGCCAACATTACAACAACAAACTCCAATGGGTGGTGGTGGTGGTACAGTGACTAATTGTGGTCCGGCACTTTCATCCCCAGTTCCTAGCTTACCGATACCATCTCCTCAACAACAACAACAACAACAGCCTCCTTCAATTCAAGTAAGTATTGTGCGTTTGTTTTTTTAGTGTGTGTTTGTGTGTCATTCAATTTGAAGATTGTCTTTGTGTTGTGACTTTTCAGCAACGGTGGAGCTTCTAACAGGAGACATACTTACTGAATTAGAGTTAGCCGATGATGATATAGTTTTACTTGATGAAGACGCTAATAAAATGCTGAGTCTTTTGATTACCCTAAGCAACAGTGCAAGCATGTTCAAGATGCGGTTCTCCCCGCTGAAATGCAAAATAGTGCTTCAAGATTGGGTTACATTGACGCCTGAACTAGTGATAGGGAGTGAAGTAGTTGAGCGTGTAGACCGCCTCACTTATCTGGGGAGTTTCGTTGTTGCTGATGGCCTGATGACTGACGAAATCTCAGCACGGATACAGAAGGCTCGATTGGCTTTTGCCAACCTGCGTCACTTATGGCGTAGGCGAGATATCCGTTTGCTGACTAAAGGACGAGTGTTCTGTGCAGTAGTTCGCTCTGTCCTACTATACGGATGCGAAACATGGCCATTAAGAGTAGAGAACATTCGTAGGTTACTAGTATTCGATCATAGATGTCTAAGAAGCATTGCTCGTGTATCCTGGGACGACCGAGTAAGCAATGATGGCTCAAATCCTAATCTTTTAGATTCTTCAACACCTTTAGTTCTGTCTTTCTAAACTTATCTCACTAAATCATACTTCTTGAATAATATCATCTAATCCTGACCTCTCTGATTACTTCTAATACCTTTACTATCTCTTCTACTATTGGATTTGAATTGACAATTACATCTGTGTGTGCTAATGTGGTATGACAACATGAGCTGATGTACTTAACTACGAAGTTATACGTTGAATCTGCCTGACTGACTGACGTTAACACTTTGAACGTGTTCGGTGTTTTTTTGTTTCGGTGGCCATTCAATTTGAATATGATTTCTATTATGAATGCGTACTGACCCCGGGTTCTATGCTAAAAGTTGTCCTAGTGACTGTCAGTTCTCGTTTCTTCTCAGGTTCAAAGGATATTTATTTATTAGGGGAATCTGAAAAGAAAACTGTATTCATAACGATAGTCCTGTTTCCTTGGGAGTTAAACCACAAAGTTCAAGGGGTAACTGCTTTACCTATTCAGGCTCACAACTTTATACCGCTCTTCAACTGTTCTGTTTGACGCAGTGAAACTTTATAAGCAGTCACTTCAACCAATATATATAGTTCGTGTGAGTTTTCATGATAGACGAAGTTGACTAATACTTCATGGTAGGTAGCTAGCTACATTCCAGCGAAGATCGGTTGATACTCATCAATGTATTTTACAGTATTCAGGGAACTAATACTTTCCGTACGATTGTAATTCTGATTATCCACTAATATAGTTCAAAACTATTACTACTGCTAGTAACACTGATCGCTTAATCTGTGGTCTCAAATTACTGCACTTGTCATGAAACTTCAAAGTATATAGCTCCGTCCTACTTCATGGCCAGTAAAAGTAGAAGATATTCGTAGGTTGCTACTACTATTCGGTCATAGGTGTCTTCGTGGCGTTGCTCGTGAAAGGTCTTTTGAGTATTAGGTCCGCTCTTAAAAGCCCTTGGTGGGCACCCTCACCCAAGGAGACGGAAATCCGTGAGGTAGGAAGAGTTGTGACATTTTTAGGGTCGACCTTTTCTAACCCTTCCTTCCTTTTGAGAAGGCGGCATCGCTGCAGATGTTGGTTGTCCGAGGGAAACACCTTACTGCTGTCACACCCCTGTGCAGTAGTCAGCAGTACGACTTCACCCTCAGACATTGAGTAGCTGCTTGTAGTCTCATCGTTCTCTAATCGACCAGCCTGCTATGGTAGAACTTTCAGGAACATATGCTCCAGCCAGTATAGCTCGGTTGGGTCATCACGATAGGCAAGCCCGACCACCACATCAAGCTGGCAGCTCCAGTCGAGTAGGAGTCGGTTATTGTGTAAAGATGACAAATCAATAGATGAAGCAGTGAAACTTGATCAGTAGACATGGTTGGGAACATGTGTTACGAATGCCTAACCACTGACTACCTCGACGAGCTATGTTTTGTGATGTAGGAGAAGGTTGGAAGAAAGCTAGAGCTTTCCAGACCAAAACATGACACAAATTCATGAAGTCACTGACACATGAACTGCACCATGTTAGACTACGCTGGGTGGTGTCCGCCAGTTGATAATAATCGATGGTTAGAGACCTTGAATGACATGGCTGAAAATCGTTTGCAATGGTGCAGGTGCATTCATCCTTTGTCTTCTCTTAAATCCTAATCTTCTAAATTCCTCATCACTTTTATCTTTCTCTTTCTAAATTTACTTTATTGAATCACACTTCTTGAATTAATATCTTGGAACCATAATCTTTTCCATGTCTACCACTATGGGATTTGAACTGACAATTCGATGTCTCTGTGCTAATGTATTGTGGTAACTTGAACTGATGTACGTACGTACATACGTACGTAAGAATTTCCACATTGTAACGGACTGATTGTCCGATTCTTTAGAAGTAGAATTAGTTGGTTGATTGCTGATTAAAAATACTCTTACCATTAATTAATTAACTAATTCTGATTAAGTTTGGTAATTTTTTTTCTATTATTATTTTAACTGTCCATTATAAAAAAAGGCCATCAAGGGATGTTTTTCTTTTTCTTAAGAAAAAAAAACGTTTAAGAATTTTCTCTTTTCACCGAGAGAAAAATACCTATATGTATGTAGGTATGTATGTTTGTGAATTTTTTTATTTGCTTTGATTTTATAATATAAGTGTGTGTTTATTTTGTATACGGGATTGTGCTTGTGTGTGTGTGTGAGTGCGCGTGTGTGTGTGCATTGTTTCTGTCGGTACTGTGAAAAGATTGATGTATACAGTTCTCGTCTTTTTTATTTTAATGATGAATTCCTTCTTTTTTCTTTCTTGTGTGATTTTGCTGTCCCTCTCTGTCACTTACACATCACTCTTTGTGTGAGTAGACAAACTGTTTCATACTTATTTACTTGCTTATTTACTTACTTGTTATGAATGATTGTCATTTGTTGTAATGATAATATTTTTACATTACGAGGTTGTGAAGATTGTTAAGTTACACATTTTTGAAACCATGAATTGATCAATGTTAGAACACTATTAGAAACCTGAAAGCACTGGACGGCCGTTTCGTCCTGGTATGGGACTCATCAGTGACAGTGCGCATCCACGACTCCTGCACCTCGCAGGATTCGAACCTAACCACCGACTGCCTCGACGAGCTTTGTTTTGTAGTGTAGGAATAGGTTGGAAGAAAGTTAGGGGCGGCCAAACCTAAACATGGCAGAAATCCATGAAGTCACTGGTTAGTGGACTGAGTCATGTTGGTAGATGTAGACTACTTGGTTGGGGTCCGCGAGATGATAATAATCGATGGTTAGAGACCTTGAATGACATGTCTCAAAATCGTTCGCAGTGGCGTCAGTGCATCTACTCTTTGTGTTCTCTCAAATCCTAATCTTCTGGATTATTCAACACCTCTAGTTTTGACTTTCTAAACTTTTCTCATTGAATCATACTTCTTGAATAATATCTTCTAATCCTAACCTCTCCTAATACTTCAAATACCTTTACTATCTCTTCTACTATTGGATTTGAATTGACAATTATATCTCTGTGCTGATGTGATATGGCAACATGAACTGATGTACTCTCATGTACGAAGTTCTACGTTGCATCTGACTGACTGACGAACACAGGACCTTCGGTATTGTAGGCGAACGCCTAACCATCGAATCACTGAGCCGGTATCTAACAGTACGGTTGTCAATTCGTTTTGGCGGTCATCTAATCCACTTCAGGCGTGTGTGTTTGTACGTGTGTGTGTGTGTGGAATGTCCAAGTAAATTCAGCTGATGAGGTCTAAATTGGAACGATACGTGTGTGTTTTTGATTTTCGAAATTATAATCATTATTTTGAAAAATTCACACTATCCAGTGATTAAATTTACTGGAACTATGAATATTTTTGGATATTATATTCTAATCTGGCAGTCGGTAGGTGTATCGTACGTGTTGCAAGATCCGATCCTGACTATCACTGCCTACCGTGATGATTTAACCGAGCTATGTTGGTTGGAACATATGTTCCTTAAGAGGTGTCTTATGATGCCAAGCAGGTTGATTAGAGAACGGTAAGAGCCGAAGCAGTAACTGTGAAGGTCTGAGGATGAAGTTATGCTGTTGACTGTAGACAGGTGCGGCAGTAAGGTGTTTCTCTCGGACAGCCAGCATCTGCAGAGATGCTTCCTTCTCACAAGGAAGGGAGGGGTTCAGAAAGGTTGAACCTAAAATGTCACACCTCAGTTTACCACACGGATTTCTGTCTTCATTGATAAAGCATTTTGAAGAGCGGAGCTAAAAAATTAAAATCTTCCAATAAATAGGTCTTGTGTGACTGGCCTGAAGCAGTTGTCCGTTGGTTTCTGAGATCATGCTCCCAGGTCGCTAAACCTGTCGGTGATTGAATTCCCTTTACAGTTTATTCAAGAAAACACCCTTCTAAGAATTAGGCAGCTGAGCAGTGACATCTGCCCTCATCCTTGATAGCATACGAGACCGAATCAATCTCAATCGAATCTTTCATACAATCCCCAACATCTCTCTTTTCTCCACGATTAACCCTTCTCAGATTTCTTTATCACCCCGGCACTGCTAACGCAAACGATTCGAGTTCACGAAACGTTATTCCTGGTCTCCTAAAACCCTCTTTTGTTCTACTATTTCAGATGGTAAGGCCTTCTGAAAAGGGGCTATACGGTCACGATCCTAGGTCGCTGAGACCGACTGTAATTGAATTCCCTCTTCAGTTTCTTTAAGAAATACCCTTCTACGGTGTTTTAGGCAGCCGAGCAGTGACATCCCCCGTCATACCGGTGACAAAATACGAGACTAAATTGGTCATAGTCAAATCATTCATCAATCAACATCAATAGCAACGTAAAACATCGCTGCAGATGCTGGTTGTCTGAGGGAAATACCTTACTGCTGTTACACCCTTCTACAGTCAATAGTACTGTACTGAACGAGAAGACAGGTGGGGCAACCGGATTGTATTTAACGGAAATTACAGAGTTACTCAGTAAAATCGGAAAACCATATCGTTAATTTGCAAAATATCAGTTCATCATATCGAACTGGACTGTTCCTGTTGCAAAAAAACATCAATCCATTGTCACTACTATTCATGCGTTTCATACACAAATTCCATTGTGTTCTTCTAACTCTTCCTTTCTTGATCTTCCCCCCCATCTTCTGCTGCCAGACATTACGTTGACACTCACGTCATATACTACTTATAAGTAGCGCGCACCATAGTACGACTTCGCCATCAGACATTGAGTAGCTGCTTTTAGTCTCATCGTTCTCCAATCGACCTGCCCGTCATGGTAGTAAAACCTACAGGCACATATGTTCCAGCCAATATAGCTCAGTTGGTTTATCGCGCACGATAGGCAAGCCCGACCACCACATCAAGGTAGTAGCTACGTTTGGGAGTCATATCATTACTAGCTTTTTATCTATACAACCTAATCCTTCTCACATTTATTGTAATCTCTTCTTTCCTTTTTCTTTTATTTCATAGGTGAATAATACATTTTTCAATGCCCAATTAAATGTACAACAAATGAATTATCAACATGTTACAGCACCAGGATCAACTGGTCAAATGCAAATACATTTTGCACAACAACAACAACAACATCAACAACAACAGCAGCCTCAGCAACAACAACAACAACAACCTGTCCCATCAGCTGCTGCACCATCCTCTTCATCATCTTCATCCTCCTCCGCATCACATGAACATTTACGTTCATGTTCACGACAATTATTATTAGACAATCCTCCTCATCAGCATCAGCATCATCAGCATCATCATCATAATCCGAATAATAATACAATACGTATGATGAATTCATCAAATGAATATCTTTCCAATAATCCTAATCCGTTATTATATAATAATACTACTGATAGTGTTATTGTTAACCAACATTCTCATCCTCATCCAACTCAACATCATCAACAGCATCAGCATCCCCATCATCCGCACCATCAGCAGCATCATCAACAACAGCAACAACAACGTATGATGGATTTCCCATTGAAATCAGAAATCTCTACAACTATTCCATCATCAGTTGTTGTATGTACCCCGTTAGGTTCATCAATTGTAGTCGGTGGTATGATGAATACTGGTAGTAGTAGTAGTAGTGGCGTCAGTAGCGCTGGTGGCGCTGGCGGGAATACTGCTGGTTATGGCAATGCAAGTATACAAATTACCCCGAGGACACCGCATACAATACAATATTTACCAACTGTTACTCCACAAACTTCAGGTATCTCACCTGGATCGAATCCAATGCAACGATCCTCAAATTCATTGCGTCATTATCAATATATTTCATCGGATGTAGATAATAGTAGTGGTATTTCACATTTTACCGATACTACTACTAATCGTCATTTAACTTATCCTTCATCACATTCTCAACATCATTTACATTCATCTTACAATGTTACTCCGTCTACTCCGACTCCTACGCCTACTACTCCGACTACACCGACTACACCAATGATTCCTGGACAATTTTACCAAACGAATACACATCAGTCAACTACTACTACTACTACTACTGCTATGTATCCAATCAATCAGTCATTACAAAATAAACATTCACAAATGATGCCTACTACTGCCGCTGGTACTGTGAATATGAATGGAAGATCTAACACCAGCAACATCAACAATCATAACAATACAACGTCATTTGGATGGAATGATGATAGCATTAGTAGTAGTAATAGTAATTTAATAGACTCATCAATTCCATTAGGTTCTAATTCATTGACAGTGATGGTCTCATCTACAAATGATCCCGGTTTGAATAGTTTTCTGTCCTCCTCCTCCTCCACATCAACATCTACCAGTGAGTTTAAAATTATATGTCTTTCGCATTGTTATAATGCTGTTTTGTGTAGAGCTATTCGAAATTCTTAACCGATTAATTAAATTCACATATTCTAATACGACCCCCCCCCGCCCAAATACTGTGTCCCCGAATCTCCAATATATATGTATATATCAGAACACAACACCGTTAGATGATGTCGACCGTAGCTGCTACCTTGACGTGGTGGTCGGGCTTGCCTATCGTGATGACCCAACCGAGCTATACTGGCTGAAACATATGTTCCTGAAGGTTCTACCACGCCAGGTAGGTCGATTGGAGAACGATGGGAATAAAAGAAGCTACTCTAGGTCTGAGGGCGAAGTCCTACTGCTGACTACTGCAGAGGGGTGTGACAGCAGTAAGGTGTTTCCTTCGGACAACCAGCATCTGCAGCGATGTTGCCTTCTCACAAGGAAGGAAGGGTTAGAAAAGGTCGACCCTAAAAATGTCACAACTCACCCTACCTCACGGATTTCCGTCTCCGTCGGTAAGGGTTCCCGCTAAAGGCTTTTAAGAGCGGAGCTAATCCTCTAAATACCTTTCATAAAAAGGCCGTGCGTGGCCGGCCTCAAGCAGTTGTCCTCTGGGCTCTGCGGTCACGCACCCAGGTCTCTAAGACCAACACTAATCCATCTTCCTTTTCAGTTCCCTCAAGAAACAATCTTCCACGGTGTGGGCAGCCGGGAAGTGATAACCGCCCTCATACCCGTAACAGCACACGAGACCGAATTGGTCAAAATCAAATCCTTCCTACACCGTCAATTCCTACTGGTCAATTTTATGGTCGTCCTAGTAGATATATGAATGTCACGTGCTTCAATGTTGTTTCTTATTTATTGGTTGTCCTGACTATCAATGTCACGTGCTTCAATGTTGCTTCGTCTTGGTCGTCTTAACTGTAACGTTTTATGACCAGAACCTGGTCCCGGATCCGTAGTCCGGGATCCTGATTCTCTTCTGGATTCGGACCTCGTACTTTCTGGATGTGTGTAGAATACAGGTTCTACTTCACATTCAAGTCTTCTTATTTTTACTCAATAAAGGGGGGTTGGGATAATCGGATTTGAGTGGCATGTCGTGTCACCGGCTCCTCGATCCTCGTTCTCGTTTCCCGTCTAGGCAGTAAACTCGTAATAGTTCAAGTATATCTGAAGTTGACGTGTTTACGTGTAGGCGTAACAGATAGTTAGCACGACCAGTCAGTCAGTCAGTCAGATACAGCAAAGCAGAACTTCGTACGTAAGTAAATCACAGTTCATGTCGCCATACCACATTAGCACACACAGAGATGTAATTGTCAATTCAAATCCATTAGTAGTAGAAGATGTAGTAAGGGTATTAGAAGTAATCGGAGAAGTTAGGGTTAGGAGATATATTATTCAAGAAGTATGATTCAGTGAGATAAGTTTAGAAAGTCAAAACTAGAGGTTTTGAAGAATCCAGAAGATTAAGATTTGAGAGAACACAAAGAATAAATGCACCGGCGCCATTGCATACGGTTTTGAGCCATGTCGTTCAAGGTATCTAACCTTCGATTACTGTCATCTCGCACACCCCACCCAGCGTAGTCCAACATGGCGCAGTCCACTTGTCAGTGAGTTTGTGTCATGTTTTGGTTTGGCCGCCCCTAGCTTTCTTCCAACCTATTCCTACACTACAAAACATAGCTCGTCGAGGTATTCGGTGGTTAGGCATTCGTAACACATGTCCCAACCATCTCAACTGATGCAGTTTCACCACTTCATCTATTGATCTGCCGCCCTCAACTCGTATTTGTTTTCTAACGACAGCATTGCTTACTCAGTTGTCCCAGGATATACGAGCAATGTTTGGGAAACATCTATAATCGAATACTAATAACCTACGAATATCCCCCACTCTTATCCATATAGAGTAGGACAGAGTGTACTACTCTACTGCACAGTAGACTCGTCACTCATCATCATCAACATCACCATCATCATCCATATTGGCCTTATATCTATCTGTTCAATTCTTTTTTCATTTTTAGATCAAATTGCTCATAATCGTTTAAATAGAAATATTCATCCTACAGTATTACGTGATAATCAAATGAATTATTCATCTTGTATGAATAATAATAATAATAACAGTAATGACCCGTTATCGTCATCTATGCTGCTGCCGCCACCGCCACCTCCTCTTCCTTCTCATATTGATTCATCCACAGATATTATTATGTCACATCAATTATTTACAAATTCATCATCTGATCTTATCCCCCCACCACCATCCTCATCCTCATCGTCATCATCATCGTCCATACAACAACAACAACAACAACAACAACAACGTGTTCATTTAAATCAACCATATCTTCGTCAATCAAGTATGAACAATAACGATAGTAAACCACCACAGTCTCAATCCTATGCCTCATCCTCTTCACAACAACAACACCAACACCAACAACAGCATCATACACAGAGCAACCTTCATCAACAACATCATCATCATCATCATCAACAGACAAGTCATCATCATCAACAGCAGTATTATCATCATCAGCAGCAGCAGCAACATCATCAAATGATGATGTCCTCTTCATCAATGTATGATTATTCTGGCAACAATAACAACAACAACAATAGTAGTATTAGTAGTAGTAATGATTGGAATTCAACAAATCAACAAATACAATTTGTCATGTCCAATTCTAATAGTATGAATAATTCTTCTACCGTGGTGTATAATACTAATCATACTAGTTCTACTACTACTAATACTACTATTATCGATAATAGTAGTAGTACTAGTAGTAATCTGATGGAAAATTCTACTAATATGGCAGGACATACTAATACTACTAATACTACTACTACTACTATACCTAATCATAATAAACGTCCCCCATTGGTCAATCCTATGCATGATGAGATGATGAAATCAACAATTCCAATTAATTCTTATTCACATCATCAACATCATCAACATCATCATAGTTTAGTACCGCCTACGCATCAATCACATTCGCAACAGATGATGATGATGATCGGAGCCAACAACAACACCAACACCAACACCAACAATACTACTAACGGGAATCGATCCAACTGGTACCCCCATCCATCCATTGGCAGCAATCCTGCTGCAGGATTTAATCCAACTAGTGCCAATCGTGAAATGTATACTGGCAGTCAAATGTCCAATAGTAAATTCTCATTACCACCGTCGGTTAGTACACCCGGCGGCGGTCATCCATTAGATCCTCCTCCTCCTCCATCATTGGGAACAACCATTGGAATGTTGGATCCTACTAATCGAGGCATTATGAAACAATCACAAGATAATTATGACAATACTACCACTACTACTAATACTACTAATAATAACAGTAGTAGTAATAACAATTCATTGCCTGTATCGAGTACCACATAGAAAGTGAAAAGCCCCCCCCCGCCCCCGAACAGTAATAGTAGTAATAATTATGCCGATAATCATATTTGGATCTCAGTCACTCGTTTTCTTGACCAATTTGTAAAACACAATCACTTTTCACTTCTCACTTCTTTTTTTTGTGTCTCCTCTCCTTAACGACGACGACGACCACCAGCACCAGCACCACTACCTAACACCACTGACTGTGTGTGTTATGTGGTTGGGTTGTTTTTTTTTTCATTTCACTCTCTGTCCATCTCTCGCTCGGTTTGTGTTTCAGCATTCTGATTAACTTGTGTTTTGTACATGTTTTTTTAAAATGTAAATAAGTATATATACACATATATATATATTTATTTATTTAAACCGTCGATATACTCACAACATCAACTACTACACCAAATTCATTTTGTACTTTTTACTCAATGCATAAACTAATTATTATTCTTCTTATTATTATTACTAATGAAGTGTATTGTCGCTGTCTCTCTCCATCTCTCTCTGTGTGTGCGTCTGTGTCGCGCTCGCGCAGACGGTCAGTTTTTAATTCCACACTAACATCGTGTCTCCTTATTGGAACGCGATTTTCACTATTTCTATTGATTTTTTGTTTTTTTTCTCTCTCTGCGTATGTTGGTGATTTTTTTAAAATTTTATTTGAATCCCACACCTCTTTTTTTTCCCTTTGTTCCCCACAATCATCATCATCATCATCATCACGATCATTGTCATTGATATCATTCATTGTCACTTAGTAGTTCTAATTCCTCCTCCTCCTCCTCCTCCTCCTACTACTACTACCATGTGAAGGGTATTCCGTCGTGAATGTGTGCGTGTGTGTGAGCGTGCGTGTGTGTACACATCAATGATTTCCAGTTCATTTTACTCCGGCGGCGATATATATTCATTTTGTTTGCATACTCAAACACAATGATGATTTGTTTTTTTTAATTTACTTAATAATTTTTGTGAATTTTACTACCAGTACTACTAATAATACTACTAATAATACTGAAATAATAAATCAATGATGAATGTGAGAATGTGAATTTTCTTTGCTGTTCTATTTTGTTCATTTGTTTGTTAAAATCATGTATTCTACTACCATCTTCTACTGTTCTCCCTCCCTCGCTCCCCATCTCTCTCTCTCTTGCCTTATTTTCATAATTGCCCCTAGTTACAAAATAATAAATACATCATTGATCTATTTAATTAAATAATTGATTTGCCTAGGCCAAGTATTCTCTCTCTCTCTCTCTGTCGTGTGTGTGTGTGTAGGTGTAGGTGTGTGCGCTTGTTCGTGTTTTTAACATCCTATCATCTTTTCCCTTTCTATATTCCATGTACACACATACAGTACAATAAATTCCATTTTGGTCTCTCTGTCTCTCTCTCTCTCTAAGACAAACAACCGAATGAAATCACGTAATTCATCTATCTCTCTTCCTATATATCTAATTTATACGTGTACATGTTTGAACAAAAAGGAATTTTATCCTCAGTGTAATGGCACAGTGTTTATTCTGTATATGTGTGTTTCTCTCTCTCACTCTCTCTCTGTTTGCCTCTCTACCGTTCTATTTGATAGACAAAAAGAGATAATAGATAGACAGACAGACATAAAGATAGACACACTGACACACACACAAATGTATATTATTCATTCCCGTTTTCTTTTTTAAAACTACTAATTTCTCATAATATTCTCTTTTTTTTCCTCAGTTTATTGTTTTTTCCCCTTTTTCTCTTTAAAATTGATTTTCTTTATCTGAAAAAATTTTTTTTCTCCCTTGTACATTTTTGTTTTGCCCTTTTCTATTGAAAATACAAATTTCTTGTCACAAAATTAGAAATAACAAATAACAGAAACGAATTGCAATTTTTCTCGAATTCTTCAACTAAATGTACGCTGGATTTGATTTGATTTTTGTTGGGTGTGATAGCTCTCTCTATGTTACATCATCATCATCATCATCATCATCATACTTGAAGACTGTTGATTTTTTTTCTAATTATTGGTTTACTCATTACGGATAATGTTGTTCAAACTGTTTGGGTGCACTTGTACACTCCTTCTTCCTTCCTTCCTCCAGCTCTTTGATTTTGTTTCCAATTCAACATTCAAAACTGTAGCGAGTTTGCATCGTCATCATGATCATTGTCATTATGTGAGCACCATTTCGCCAGACGATTACTCTACGTACATACAACATTTCTACAGTCGATATTTCTCTACTCTTCTCTTCTACGACATTGGTTTTCCTCTCTCCCTGTGTGTGTGTTCATAAACAATTTACAGTAAATTTTGTGTATGTGTGTGTGCACGAGTGTACGTTTGTATGTATGTAATTATGTTAAGGCAATGAGTTGGTACAAACTAGCTCACAGATACTACCATTTGCCAAAGACACATTGAATCCGAATTGTTGTAATTTTATAATGATTCAGTTTTCCTTTCTGTTTTTTCGTACATGCACACACACACACATACATACGCAATGATAATTTACTCATAGTTAAGTAGTATTGATAGTGATGATGTTGTATGATGCTGGTGTCACAAAACACTTGAATTCTACAATTGATCATAGATATAATCTCATTCTCCTTCTCCTTCTTCTCCTCTTCTTACTTTGATTTCTCCACTACCGTCACTGTCATCCTCACACACACCTACACACACACACACGATGATCATTGCGTGTTGAATGATAGTTCCTCCTATGCACACATACGATCTCCAAAATACACACACACACATACATACATACAATTGTGTATTATTTCTATTGTTGAATGTGTTTCACCGCCCACCCTCTTTTGTTGATTTTTTTTCAATTCATAACAATACTACTATTATCATCATCGGTCAGTTTTATTAACATTGTCTCTCTTTTGACAGACTATCACTGTGCGCAAACACTCTCACTCACTCACACCCACACACACACACATGTGTACTTCATATGATCAATAATCTTGTTTTTTCATTGCAAAACGCAAAAAAAAGACTGAAGAAATTTTTCTGACACAAGAGACCAACCATTTTTATGATCAATTTTGTATTATATACTTTAAGTGAATATATATATATATATATATAAATATTATATAAATATGATTTTGTTTAATTTTTAATTTGTCACTCAAAATAAATCCATAAATGACGAGTGTGCGTTTTCTGTGTCTCTCTGTCTCTCTCTGTGTGTGTATGTATGGTATGTGTGTGTTGCGGATGCATGCACGTAAACATGTCAATTTGAGATATACTTTTGAACTATTACGAGTTTACCTTAGTTGGGGAAACGACAGTAAGGATCGGGGATCTGGCGACACGATAGGCTACTCTAGTCCGATTGTCCCAACTCCCCCTGTAGTGAAGGAGAACGCAGGTGAGGGCAACCGAATTATGTATTTAACGAAAATTACAAGAGTTACTCAGTAAAATAGGAAAACTATATCGTAAACCGTTGTTAGTTTGCAAATCTTCAATCCATCATCAATCCATTTGTACTGCACTGGCGAGCGAATGCACGGAAGAATGATTGCATTCGATTCTACGTCGAAATTACCAATTAATTGGAAGCGTTCGATTTTTCGTCAGCATCAGGAAACATCCTGAGAACGTCGGGATCACCATTTTGTAGTGAGCCGATTGACTGCGTGTTCTTAAGCTCGGTTTATAAATCAGAAGATGAACTCCAAGTATCGTATACGTTTATTCGAGGCACACCACAATAAAGATAGCAGAGAAGCGAATTGGAGAAGGCTAAGAGCCAACTCTTTGAGTTACAATGCGAATGAATATGCGAAGCGAATTGGAGAAGGCTAAGAGCCAACTCTTTGGATTACAATGCAAGCGAATGAGCGAAGCGACGTGGAGAAGGCTAGTGAGCCAACTCTTTGAGATAGAACATGACTAAGAATATATAGTCAGATAAAAATAAGACAGACATGACAAGCGAAATAGGTATGCACACACATGAATAAAAGCGACGAATGATTGACAAGGTCAAATGCAAGCGATACAAATCATGTGAGTCCATGGGAATATTAAGAGATTAACATTAAAGCGAAAAGGATGAGTAAGTGCGTAAGCGTAAGCAATGCTCAGTCGTATAAGCTCATACAAAGCAGATAATAAAAAATATCAATGGTACATATGAGTTGTTGCTATGCCAATGGCTTGGTTAAATAAATTAATCGAAAGGGCTTAAGCAAATTAAATGCAAGCGGATGCAAATAAATGTGGAGGCACTACACATTGTCTGACATTTCACTTATTCATGCGTTTCATACAAATTCCATTGTGTTCCCACTCTTCCTTTTTTCTTGATCTTCCCCCATCTTCTTCTGCTGCCAGACATTACGTTTACACTCGCGTCATATACTACTTATAAGCAGCGCGCACCACACTCGTCCCCCCTTTTAATAAGCTGTCGTCGCAGTCTTTCTGATTGGCGTACCATTGTCACCTTTGGTGCTTTTCGTGACTCATACACTTGATAATCTTGCAACCATCTCTGCAGTTGACTAGGATTTACGCGCTTCTGCTTGTCTTCTCTCCGGATCGTGTAAACCGCGCCGCGTCTCTCCGTTCCCGCTGCTGGGACATGGCGGCAGGGACACGCTCGATAAATTGCGACGTCAACGCATGCACGTAAAAACACGTCAACTTGAGATATGCTTGAACTATTTATTACGAGCTCACCTTAGTTAATAAACGAGAGCAAGGATCGAGGATCCAGTGACACGATAGGCCACACTAATCCGATTATCCCAAACCCCTCGTTGAATAAAAAAAAAGAAGACTTGATACGAAGTAGAACGTGTATTCTACAAGCATTCAGAAAGTACCAGGTCCGAGTCTAGAAGAAGACAAGGAACCGGGTACGGGTTCGGGTCATATAACGTTACAGATAATGCGTATTTATACAATTAGGTCAAATAGGAAACAACATTGAAGTCTGTGACATTGATAGTTAGGACGATCATAATAT